CTGTTTGGTGTTGGGGCGAAATAGCAGCTAAAATTAATTTAGCTTTATGGCCTCGGCAGAGTAAGGACAAGACTGAGCAAACAGTGACCGCAGTGTTGTGCTGTATTACGGCTAAAACAAAGTCAACACAGAGGTGAAGCTGTATTAAGTAGGGGCTGCTTTTCTGTTCAGCCTCTCAGCATTCAACTTCCTCCTGTAGAGGGCACACACAAAGGTCACATTAAACATATATGGAGCTGCTCCAGGGAGGAAACCGCCTCCATGCTGGTCTTCAATTTACGCAGGGTCATGATGAAGCAAGATGTGGTCATCGGCAGCCATACAGATGACCTGACTGTATTTAGAAGACACTATATAACATACAAATAATTATTTGTGTTTTAATTTGCACTTGCTCACTCGAGGGACAGCACATGTATTATGGTTAAAGCTCTAAAAGTAAACTGGGTAAAATGTGAACACAAGCATGAAAGCAGTTGCAAAGGATGCAAACAGCACATGTGGTTTCTGTGGTTTCATCACGTGTAGTTCACAAGAAAATAATAGGTGTGTCTTTGAGAAGGCTTATGAGGATGCTGATATGTTTCCAAGAAGTGCAGGGTGTGCCACCTGAAGCAGAGTGTCTAATTGTCAACAGCAAATCCCTGGCATCGGTGTGCAGACATTACATCTGGATTGTTTCAAATCGAGATCCTTTTTGGATCAATTTCCTTCAGGCACATACAGATGCCCCTCTGTTTGGCAAAAGCTTACAGGACTTGAGAGCTGCTGGCTGCCTAACTGAGGCACTGACAAAAAGCACAAAAGCCCCGGCTGCATCACAGGATTTATAACCAAAGACTCACGAGGCAGTGCCAAATGATGTTAAAAGCAATCAAAAGAAAAGCTAACGAGGATGAGGGAGGATTATGTTTTATCCCTGAACTGAAAGTTTACCATAAGCACTTTTTGATGCCACCTACTACTGTATATGTATACAGTATGTCTATATAAGGCATAAAAGAGCATATAACATTAAACCAGTGTGAAGAACACCAAATAATAACTGGAGTAGCTGCATGTTGATTTCACTAGTAATTTAAAAAGCGCTGCTTGTATCAAATCTCAGAGTATATATTTAGGGTAAAACATTATACAGGAATTATGTGTAATCAAATAATATTCTATCTTTAAAACTTGCACAAATACATTCATTTATTAATTTTAAGTTAATTAAAAGTCAAGTCTTGTGTCTTGGAATGAGCCAAATGAATGTGCTGCTGGTGTTCACCAAACTAATCAAATTAAAAAGGTACCCTGTGGAGTTTTTGATCACTAGTGGCATTATGGGGAAATTATTTTTTGAGTGAATCTCTGTTTTGTTTGTATCACAGAGTCCTGCATGGCTATGTTTTGAAGTCATGCTCCCAAACCGAAACCACGACATGCAATACTGCACCCAGGGTACGAACAATTAGATCCTCAATCTGCAAATCCAATAATAAGCATGCATTGTTTTAATAAGGTTGGGTGTCCATTTAAAGTGATTATTTTGAGACACTTCTTACATGTGAAACTAAGATATTAAACACTCACTGGCCACTTTATTAGGTACACCTGTTCAAGTTCTCGCTAATGCAAATAGTTAATCAGCCAATCATGTGGCAGCAACTCAATGCATTTAGGCATGTAGACATGGTCAAGACGACCTGCTGAAGTTCAAACAGAGTGTCAGAATGGCTTGCACCGGCTCACCAAAATTGGACGATAGAAGACCGGAAAAAAGTTTCAATTTCTGCTGTGACATTCAGATGGTAGGGTCAGAATTTGACATGAAAGCATGTTGGTGTAATGGTGTGGGGGAGATTTTCTTAGTACCAACTGAGCATGGTTTAAACACCACAGCCTACCTGAGTATTGTTGCTGACCGTGTCCATCCCTTTATGACCACAGTGTACCCATCTTCTGATGGCTACTTTCAGCAGGATAACGCACCATGTCACAAAGCTCATATCATCTCAAACATGACAATGAGCTCACTGTACTCCAATGGCCTCCACAGTCACCAGATCTCAGTCCAATAGAGCACCTTTGGGGTGTGGTGGAACGGGAGATTCTCATCATGGATGTGCAGCCGACAAATCTGCAGCAACTGTGTGATGTCATCATTTCAATATGGACCAAAATCTCTGAGGAATGTTTCCAGCACCTTGTTGAATCTATGACAGCAAGAATTAAGGTAGTTCTGAAGGCAAAAGGAGTCCAACCCTGTGCTAGCAAGGTGTACCTAATAAAGTGGACGGTGAGTGTATTTTACAATTAAGGTAATTCAGAAAATGCAATTAAAAAAATGTTGCTGATAACCACATGTCTGAAGCTGACATGCCTGTCAGTAATGCACCATCACGCACTCAATGTACGCAGAAAACAGAGTCGATACAAAAAGCCTGCAGTCAGAGGATTAAAACATTAAATAACACTATTATTATACTCTAGATCTGACCCACGTGTCTTTTTTTTTCACCCAGAACCGAACCCAGAAATACAATTAAGACAAATTACCACCCACGAGTCACCTTTTCACCTGCACTCCCATGAACATGTGGACATGGTTCACATTGATTTCGTGCTATATCCATGCTGAGTTTGTGGTGCTCCAGCAAACGTAGCAATGCACCAGCAAAGACAGCGAAGAGGAAGAGTGCACCGCTTAAAGCATTTGTTAAAAAAAAAAAAAAAAAAATAGCTTTGGAAATACTGTTGGATCTCAGGGAAACATAATTTTGTTTGTTCACAAGAAGACTCAACAGGATATATTTTCATTTTTAAAGAAATATGATTAGCATACTTGCCAGCATGCATGGTTTAGGGTTAAAAACTCCTCCTCCTTGCCATGATAGAAGCTAGCTTTGTCCCCTTTGATACACTTTAAGTCATGTTTGTTTCCTCTAACGGAAACCATACTAACCATGATAGAGGTTAGTATTTAGGTCAAACGGGGGCAACCTTAGCTGCAAGGTATGTGAGGTCAAACGAACGCCTATTTGGAAAGAAAATGTCACTGTAATGGAACACTATGTGATTTAAGATTTTGTTTTTTAATATAATATCTTAGTCCTGATATATTTACGTTTTCTCAAGTTCAATAAACTTAACTTAGTTGGTTTTACGTTGTCACAACCTATAAGCCGACTTTGTACCAATGTAATAATTCAGGTTTACTTCAGTTAACACATTTTTAGGGCAACAGGGGAACAGTATCAGATCAATATTTTATTTTATTGTGGGCTTTCTTTTATTGTGGGCTCGGTCTACTGATTGGATTACACTCCAGGTGCTGGCTCTTTTTACTAAACTTAGAAAATTCAGTTTTTCATATTGTGCAACTGCAAGGTGGAACAACATGCAGAACAATTTAAAGCTTTCCTCATGTTTATCCAAATTCAAATATTTAACGGTATCATATTTTACTTCTCAGTGTTTCTGTTTTACCTGATTAATATATTCTACATTTTAACAGTTTTAAGTCGTCATTGATGCTTTTATTTATTTATTTTGTACATTTTTAATTGTGGTTTTATTGCTTTTTACTTCTTGTTGCCACTTTTATGTGAGTTTCTCTTGTTTCTGTGTCTAAGAGCTTTTATTTTATACTGTTTTACTCAGCTACATTGTAAATGAGGTCTCTACCTCAATGTATTTACGAGTTAAAATAAAGCTTGAATGAATCAATGAACCTTGTTCTAAAGGGAATCTGTTTTCAATTTGTGGGGAGGATGCATAAAATCTGCAAAAATATGTCAGAAAGTATATCGTATTTATTTTTAGGTTTTATATGACACTAATCTGGATTGAGGCAGCTTTTTTTAAATATAATATCTTAATCCTGATATATTTATTTTTTCACAAATGTGAAAAACTTAACTCTATCTGTTCTACATTTTCACAAATCATGAGCTGACTTTAAACTACTATAATACTTCAAGTTTACTTCAGTTAACTCACATTTTTATGGTAACAAGGGAACCTTTTTCTAAGAGGAATCTGTTTTAAATTAGTGTGTAAGATGCATCATATCTGCAAAAATACGTCAGAAAGTAGTATGAGTAATAGTAGAAGTATATCATATTTATTTTTAGGTTTTTATGACACTGATCTGGATTGAGGCAGCTTTTTTTAAATATAATATCTTAATCCTGATATATTTATGTTTTCACAAATGTGAAAAACTTAACACTATCTGTTTTACATTTTCACAAATCATGAGCTGACTTTAAACTACTATAATACTTCAAGTTTACTTCAGTTAACTCACATTTTTATGGCAACGAGGGAACATTTTTCTAAGAGGAATCTGTTTTAAATTAGTGTGTAAGATGCATCATATCTGCAAAAATATGTCAGAAAGTAGTATGAGTAATAGTAGAAGTATATCATATTTATTTTTAGGTTTTATATGACTTTGATCTGGATTGAGGCAGCTTTTTTTAAATATCTGATCTGTTTTAAATTAGTGTGTAAGATGCATCATATCTGCAAAAATACGTCAAAGTAGTAAGGGTAGAAGCATACATTTATTTTTAGGTTTTACATGACCTTTATCTGAACTGAAGCAGCTGCAGTTGGTTGCTGTGTGTTATTGTGCCTATTAAAGCTCATAAAGCCGACCTGACGTGTGACGTGTCAGAAAGTTTCATTTATAATCATGGCAACAAGGGAAAGTTTTGGTAAGTGTATTCAATACAAGTTGCCAAGATGCCCGGGTCTCCAGTTTTGATCTGAGTTTGGCAGCGCAGATGGGAACTGAAAGAACAAAAAAAAGGTGGTTTCACATGCCTAGCTTCTGCCGAAACATCAGATATGTGTCACACGTGAAAAGGGGAAAAACAACAACCACTGAAAGTCAGCTACACTGAAGGTGACGTAAATCTGTATCTCTGTTTTATTAAATATCAGTCTATGGAATAAAATAAAATCCAGTACTCTTAGATTTTATGATCAATAAAGTGACAGTTACAATGTAAAAGTGAGAATTTTATTTACACAATATACCATAATTCAGTTTTTCACCATGACCTTCATGTCGCACATCCACACATGGCACACAAATAATGCCTTAAATAGTATTTAACACCACCTGTCCCTGTTTGCTGTTATTAGCTTCTATTCTCTTGCAGCAGAGGTGTCCACATCCTCTTTGCTCTTCCAGAAACCATCAAAAGAAAAGTAATACAACAGAGGATCCAGGCAGCAGTTCACACTCGCAAGACATATCAGCGGCGTGCGAGCAGGTCTCCAGCTCTTAAAGCAAACCAGCAATGACACAGGCAAGAAAAAGATGGTGAACATCATCAAGTTCATGGCAAAAATCAGCATGACATTCACCTTGTTGCTGACCCTTGCGGAGTCATTCAGGCGTCTGCGTAGAGTGCAAGACACCAGAGCCGTGGACACGATGTTGACTGCCAGCAAGGTGAGCACCAACACAGGCTGAAGATAGGTTGGTCTGGGCTGCAGATTGTGACGAAATTCAAAACAGCTGGATTCATTGTGGTGGTTTAAAAACATGTAGAAGTCCCGGCCCTCTGGGATGTTCACCACGAACACAAACAGCCAGACGAGTGCGACAGCTTTTGCGGCGTTGGAAGAGGTCCGAAGATGGCGTGACCTCAGAGGATAAACCACAGCCAGCAGCCGGTCCACACTGATGAAGGTGATGAAGATGGAGCTGGAGCGAATGTTGTTGCGAAAGAGCATTGTGGTCCAGGTGCACGCCATACGGCCCAGAGGCCAGGTGCCCGTGGCGTAAAAGTAGACCCTCATGGACAGGGTGATGACGAGCAGCAGGTCAGAGACGGCCAGGTTGACCATGAAAACAGCACTTGGGGATTTGAGGCTGTGGCAGCGTAACAGAATCCACAGCGACACAGCATTGAGAGGCAGACCCAGCATTGTAACAGATCCAAACACCAGTGCATACGCTGTGCTCTTAACATCCAGCTCTGTTCCATTTTCTAATGTAATGTTAAACATGTTTCGCTTCTGTGAGAAATGCACAAGTGCAAGGCGAGTGTGTGTAACTCTGAAAGAGACCATCGTAAGCCCGCCTCCTCCAGATTCAGATCAGTGTGAACAAAGGTTGTTGCTACATGTTCAAGAGGCTGAGAGCGTTAAAACAGGAAACAACTCTAACAAGAGTTGAAGTGCTGTGCTGTTCAAGTGAAACAGAGATTGTGTGGGAGTTAAAAGTCATGGAAGAGATGCGGCTTTATTTTTTTCTAAAACCACAACCATGCACACTGTATTCATTCGCCATTCGCATATTCTGACACAAGTGTTACAAAGATTTCTGTTCAAAACGGTCCCACTTCTTTGAATTGTATAGGCCATACAAGTATAGTCTATAGAAACACCATCTGTACTACACTTGTAGCTACTTGCATTTGAAATTCCATCTGAACTGGCATGTATGCTAATTAAGCACTATCTGTACACTAATTACTGCGTCAGTAGGGAAGAAAGAATTCCAATTATGTAATTTTGTTGCCATTGGCGTGGTGTATATGGCATTTAGCCACGTGTGAGCATGGTGTTGTATGACTGATGTACTTGTGTGTGTATGCTAGACATACCTGTTGTACACTATAATGTCTTCAGGGACTGTAAATCACCTAATTACCCTATTTAATTAGTTTATGTCTGTTTTATGCAGTTACAATTCACTGACCTACACAAACAGTATTAAAGCAGCACTACACCTATTTTTAAAATCCACACGTTATCCCTAGTGTCTGAGACAGTCTAAAAATATTAGTAACATGAACCATCTCCCAAATCCAAAAACTAGAGTGCAAAAACTCAAATTTGTGATGTCACTGGAGATAAAGTCTGGAGCTGCTCTAGAGACAATAAAATGGAAAAGATAGATGATGCTGAGAGCACTCATGGGAATGTTCTGAGTATATGGATACAAATTCTGTTTCAGCACGGGGGACACTACGATAGAATAAAACGTATTTGGTTATAAAAAGAAAACAAACATTCTCTTGGTTTACAAAATCAGGTTCCCATTAACTGTCAATAGAACAGCAACAGCACAGAAAGCGTTTTGCAGGTTGCAAAAAGCAAGACACACTGCACTGCCGGCGCTTTTTTTCTTTTTATATTGAATGCCACTCGTAAAAAAAACACTTGCTGCACCTTTTTACTGTTGCAAGGCAACCACCCCATCACCTCCTTACTCTAACCTCCCCATATATCGATCTACCGTTTATTTATTTATTTATTTTATTCATTTCACAGTAATCAGTAGCTAGTTCCTAAAATGTTGAGGCAGAGGGTACTTGCTGTAGCTCTGGTTGAGGGTGAGATGCTGTCAGCAAATAGTTTGTTGGGCACAGATAAACAGAGATCTGTGTGGGTACATGAGACCCTAAAAAAGAGGCTGGATCATGAGGAGGACCACCAGTTGGTCCAGTAGTTTCGACTCCATGATAGCTGTTTCCAGGCGTATTTTAGGATGACTCAGGGGCAGGCTGACAACCTGCTGTCTATTGTTGGGCCCAGCATAACACAAATGAATACTAGCTACAGGGAGTCTATTGGTCCCGCCAAGCAACTGAGCACCACCACTTTCTCCTCCATTTTTTACTTGTTGTAACCACCACAGGAAGCCCGTCTCAAATCATCTGATTGGACAATGGAAAAAAAAGCAAAGATGTCAGGTGCTTTTTTTTTTTCAACTTGAGGAGTTTAGAGGGCTACGGCAAAAACACCAGGTGCCAAGAGCGCAGAAATGTGAGGCATGTAACAACGCAAAAACAGCGAGCAAAAAGCTTCATTCTCATTTTTTAAAAATTACAATAAGTCCCCTCCAGCTGCTGAAACACTTTGTGTGCTGGGGGCCTAATACTGTCCCTCCAGTATTTTGCAGATTCTTTTGGGGGATTATTACAGCCTGAAATACCTGATTTTGTACAAAATTTTAATGCATATTGCAATGTTTCCTTCCCACAATGGAAATTACAAAAGAAGCTGCAATGCTGTCTCGGATTTGGAGCCTATTGTTATGAGCATTCGGTGTTTGACACAGAATTAGAATCGATTTGTGATGGTAGGGGGGCACCAGCTGATAACCGACAATCAGTTGTTGCTGCCGATCAGTGCAGTGCTGAAGAACCGTCTCCAAGACCCCTCGCCTCCTCTCTTGTCCGGTTAGCAAGATTTAGCACAGCAGCAGCGGTTAACATCCTATATCCAGCTATTAAAAGGTCCCAATCAATACACTACATGTAGCTCTACGATGAAATGAGTAAATTGCGAGGTTATGCAGAATTTCGAGGGATTGGCTGAATTTAAGTGTGTCATAATTGACAAAACACATGTTTGAGACTTACTTCTCTGGTTCCTGGCTTTGAGAGAAAGTAGCTCATGTTCACAAATGTTGATTGAACTTCCCTCGGCCATGGAAATAACGTACTGTAATTCTTAATTTAGGTGTTGTTCCCCTTCAATAAATAACGTCACTGGAATATTAAACACATGCAAGAATATTTATTTAGGGAATAAAAGAACAGTAGGCTACATCCTACTTTAACTTCTTTTAGATTTCTAACTTGAGTGCACATTACTGTATTTAATTTAGCCAGCATCAACAATGAAGCAGAAGTTATTAGGAAACACAAGGTCTCACAGTGGCCATGAAGTTGAATTCAGAGACAGAACTGTGAGGAGGCGGAAATCATTTTCTGAGCAGTTATTAAGAGTGCTGCATGTAGCTTATTTATCCAGCAGTACATGCCCTGGGAAGAGAGCAGGAATACAGTCACACTAGCAGCAATGTGAGGCTGTGCTGAGGCATAGTGGTGCTTAGAGCTAAATGCTAACGTCTACATGCTAACATGCTGTTTGCATGTTCAGCAAGCAGAATGTTTACCACCTTTGTTTAATGTGTCAGCATGCTAATGTATGCTAATTAGCACTGGATACAAGGTAGGCCTACAGCTGAGGCTGAGGGGAATTTCATCAGCTTGAGAAAAGTTTGATCTGCTGATGCTGACAGATAAAAGGGATCACCAAAGTTATTTACAATTCATCCTGAGGTGAACATGGTCTGTCCCAAGGTCTATGGCAACCCATCCAATCCAATAGTTGTTGAAATACTGAATTTCAGTCTGGACTAAAGCAGTGGACCAACCAGTCAATCATTAGATTGACATTGCTCGCATGGCTAAAAACAGGCAGAGTTTATATATAAGATGCAGCACCAGCTTGATATCTTACTATATCTTATCTTATCTTACTATATCTTACTATATAATGACGAAAACTCTGTGCGTGTGTGTGTCTTTGTGTGTGTGTTCCATGTTTTTCTCCTCACTGACTTGATCAATCCATGTGAAATTTGGCACAGTGGTAGAGGGTCATGGGAGGATGCCAATGAAGCAATATTACATCAATTGGCCAAAGGGGGGCGCTATAGCAACCGATTGAAATTGCAAACTTTGAATGGGCATATCTCATGCCCCGTATGTCGTAGCGACATGAAACTTTGCACAGAGATACCTCTCCTCATGAGGAACACATTTGCATCAAGAACCCATAACTTCCGGTTATAGCCTATAGATTTTCCACCATTTTGAATTTTTTGAAAACCACTTCAAATCGTTCTCTTCCTAGGAAGTTTGAGCGATCTGCATGAAACTGGGTGAACATAATCTAGGGACCAATATCTAAAGTTCCCTCTTGGCAAAAGTTGGAAAACTTACTAAAACTGAGCTTCTATAAGGCAATGAATATTGCGGAGGGCGTGGCTCATCACATAAAGGTGTATAACATCTCAAGGGTTTCACCCATCACCACGCAACTTTGTAGGCATATGACCACACATAATCTGAGGGGACCCCTCCATTATTGACCCCATCAAACAAAATGGGGGCGCTAGAGAGCTCATTTCTTATTTAGGCCTAACTGCCATATCCATTTTTACTAAACTTGGTAGATATGTAGAACAGGACGCCTCAAGGTGACTGGAGAAATTTAAGTCTAATTGGCAACTGGGTGGCGCTATAACAACAGAAAAATGCTTACAAATGGCTAAAATGTGACCGATCGTTGTGGCTCCCCCTGTGGCCCAGTGTTTTTTTTTCGTTGCCGTTGGTCTGGCGTTGGTCTGTTTGTCTGTTTGTCTGCAAAATAACTCAAAAAGTTATGAATGGATTTTGATGAAATTTTCAAAAAAAGGTGGATAATGGGACAAGGAACAGATGATCAAATTTTGGTGGTGATCGGTTGAAGCAAAGTGGATAAAATAATAATTAAAGTCTATCGTCTGACAGCCTCAGCAGCAATTCCAATTTCTAATGAGACGGTGAAAATAGCGCCATCTGGTGGCCGGAAAGCACGTCTAGTTCTACTTGCTAAACATTGTTGTAATTTTAAAGTTGAAATTAACGTGCTGTGTTGGAAAAAAATAAATTGAAAAATACACAAAAAAACATTTACAATTATATTCTGTGTTGGTACAAAATAAAAAAGAAATAAATACACCACAGTGTCTCCATGGTGAAGGCATATACAGTATAACCTAATAATGATAGTGATGCAAATAACTTAATTGTGAAGCAAGCTGAAAAATCCGATGCAGAGGGGGAGGGAATATCACCTACTTGGCAGAGGTCTGCACTCTGAGTGCATTTCTAGTTTTTCTTCTAATTTTTGGAATGACTAAGTCATGCTATGGTATGCTGTACATAATCACGGAAACTGTCAGTCAGTCATTCTGTCTGTCCCACGTTTTTCTACTCACTGACATGGTCAATCTATGTGAAACTTCACATGGGCATTGAGGATTGGCGTAGGTAGAAGGTGACAAAGCTACCAATGGGTTTGGACTAGTGTCTAATGATTTGTGGGTTCACCTTAAGTCCACACCCTACAGGACACCTGGTCCTCACTACTACATCAAGCCACCTGTGTCTCTCATTAACTCCAGTGTGTAAGCTATACAGACCATATGCTTTTCTTTTCATGTGCCAAAC